CCCTCGCCTCCCCCACTTCTGCGTTGGGTGTAGTGGGGCCGTGAATCGCAACGACGCTGCATTGTGGACTGGCGTTCCGATGTGTAGCTGTACATTTGGAGTACGGTTGGGCCAAGGGCAGAAAGACACGCTTCAAGAACATGAGACCCTCTGCTGGGCCAAAACCAACAGAACATCCAAGGGGACCCTCCCCAGGAAGCACAAGAACATCCCACAAGCACAAAGAAGACGAGGGTACCCTCCCCGAACCGACCTCGATCGTATACCTCGGTCCGACTGCAGCTGGGATGCTCACGGCGCTGCATGTTGGAATGGCGTCCAGCCTTGTGCTCCTGGCCCTCCGTGGGGCCCACCAACGCACTCGTGTCGCCGACCCTCGTTTGGCCCCTTGCGGCCCCAGGTCCCCTCTTGTTTGCCGCCTCGTCGTGTGATTCCCTCTCGGTGCTCGGCGTCCTCGTCGTCGTCGTCGTCGTCGGCGTCCTCGTCGACCTCGACGTGTCGTCGGCGTCCTCATCGTCGTCCTCGTCGTCCTCGTCGGCGTCCTCGTCGTCGGCCGCCTCGGCGTCCTCGTCAGCGTCCTCGTCCTCGTCGTTGTCCTCCTCGTCGTCCTCGTCGTCCTCGTCGTCGTCCTCGGCGTCCTCGTCGTCGTCCGTGTCTGCGTCCTCGTCGGCCTCCTCGTCCTCGTCGTCATCCTCGCCGCCGTCCTCGGCGTCCTCGTCGGCGTCGTCGTCCTCGTCGTGGGCCGCTGCGGGGCTATCGCCATGCACTCGCACCGCAAGCACGAGAGCCTGCAGTCCAGAGGCCCCGCTCCCACCTCCGCAGGACCTCCCATGGGAGGAACCCGCGCCACTCTCGCACGAAAGCGGCGACAGCTGCGCGGCTCGCAGCCACCACGGAGCCGCGAGGCGCCAAGGTGATCTGCGCCGCCCTCCACTCCGCCGTGCCTCCCAGGAGCCCACGAACGTGGCGACAGTGTTGCGAAACGCAGCCCCCCACGGAGCCGCGCGGTCGCAGAGTGATGTGCGCTGCCCCATACACTCCGCGGGACCTCCCAGGAGCCCACGAAAGTGGCGACGGTTGCGCAGTTCGCAGCCACCCCGGGAGCAGCGAGGTGCCCAACGGATCTGCCCCCCAACCGCACTGGACCTCCCAGGAGCCCACGAAGGCGATGACAGCCGCGCAGTTCGCAGCCGCCCAGAAAGCGGCGAGGTCCACGATAGACCCGCGTGGCCCCCGAATCCAAGGGACCTCCCAGGAGCCCACGAAAAGTTGACAGTTGCGCAACCGCAGCCAGCCAGAGAGCAGCAAGGTCTCGTCCGGGTCCGCGTGGCCCCCGACTGCGCTGGACCTCCCAGGAGCCTACGAACGTGGCAACAGCTGAGCAGTTTGTAGCCACCCAGGGAGCATCGATGTCTCTACTGGGTCCGCGTGGCCCCCGACTCCGCCGGACCTCCCAGGAGCTCACGAAAGTGGCGACAGCTGCGCAGTTCGCAGCCACCTAGGGAGCAGCGATGCCTCGTCTGGGTCCGCGTGGCCCCCGACTCCGCTGGACCTCCCAGGAGCCCACGACAGCAGCGACAATTTGCACAGTTTGCAACCACCCAGAGAGCAGCGAGGTCTCGTCTGGGCCCGCGTGGCCCCCGAATCCGCTGGACCGCGCAGGAACCCACACAAAAGTGTCGACAGCTGCGCAGTTCGCAACCACCCAGGAAACAGCGATGTCTCGTCTGGGTCAGCGTGGCCCCGACTGCGCTGGACCTCCCAGGAACCCACAAAAATGGCAACAGCTGCGCAGTTCCCAGCCACCCAGGGAGCAGCGCAGGAGGTGGCAGGAGCGGAAGAAGAGGAGAATGTCGATGTCGATGTGCGTATATGGTTGCGTATATGTGTATGGGTACGTGAATGTATATGCATGCGCATGTTGAATATGGATGTGTAGGTGCAACCGTATGTGTAAGCATAGATGTGTGTATACATTTGGATGCGAATGTATACGTATGTGTATATTCATCTGGAGATGTATAGTCAAATTTTACAGGCATGTATAGACGTGTATGCTTACGAATATGTGAATATGTATACGTAAGTGCATACGCATCTGAATCATGTGTATGTGTGTAAAGGTGTATGCTCATCTTATGTAGATGTAGATGCGCGTGTACAAGGATATGTACACGTATGAACATATGTTTATGCATGTGCATGTGCATGTGTTTATGTATGTGTATGTGTACGTGTATACGTATACGTGTATATGTAAATGTGAATGCGGACGCGAATGTATATGTATGTATATACACGCATCTGAACATTATGTGACATACACACACAAACACACACACATGCACATACACATACATTCATACATGCACATGTACTCCAAAACCCTGGATCCAACACCTCTTCCGCTCAGGGCGCGGATGCGTCAGCAGCGACGCCCTGTCTGGAACGCCCAATAGAATGTAAACAATCACCGACAAGACAAACGGAACGCGGGAAGGGTGGTGGCCATCGCCTTCATGAGGGCCTCGTAGTCGGCCTGGCTGTCCTTCTCGCTCGTCTCTGCCTCCGCCATCTCCTGGCGCTCTGCGGCGTCTGCCACGCGGGCACGCAGACACGCTCAGAACCCGAGGCCGTCCCCCAAGAGAACGACAGCGAAAACGAGACCGAGAGGCTGCAAGCAGCAGGCTGGCAGCAACGACACGACAGCCGACCCAGCCGAACTGCGACGCAGCCCAACCGACCGAACCGCGGACGCCCTCGAAACGTCACCTCGCTGCGGCAAAAATCATGGCGGAAGGTGCTTTTTTTTCTAGTCTTGCGACGAAAAATCAAAAATACTCCAGAAATACTCCAAAATGGTCAAAAAAACCAAAAATAGTTTTTTAATAATTTAAAAAAAAAAAAAAAAAAAAAAAAAAAAAAAAAAAATCCCAGACTTTTTTACAATTTTGGAATATTCCCCCTGTAGAGGCACAGGCCCGACTTAAGCCTAGTTTCGTTGTCCGGGGGCCCGCACCGTGCCCCGGGACCGTGAGCAAAAGCACCCAGGATGCAAAAACCGTCCCAGGGGAAGAGACCTAGGCTCAAGTCGGGCGTTTCCCCCTACAGGGGGATTTTTTGAGCGAAAAATGACAAATTGTCAAAAAAATACCCAAAACATATTGAAAAATAATCAAAAAATGGTTCCCCGACTATTTTGTGACTATCTTTGAACACCCCCCCTGTAGAGGGACAGGCCCGACTCAAGCCTGGGCCCCCAGTGGTCTGCGCAGAGAAAACGCCTCACGACGTCGGCGTCTCGGTGGTCGAAAGATCACCTGCGCAAGCTGGGCCGAGCCTCGCCGCTCGTCCGGTGCCGCCCTGACCGGCCTGCGGTCGACGAAGAGGCTCGGAGGCGGGAGGGGACTCACTGTCAATTTCCATGTGCCTGCTGGGGCGCTGCAGACGCAGCCAGGGGGTCCAATGCCGATCCAAGAAATCGGCGCCCGCCAAGACGTTCGTTCATGCCTGCCGCTGTGTATGCTCATGATGTGCGCCTCCCTCTCTTTCTCGATATGGATATGCATACATGGACGTGAGTTAACAAAAGCACGGGCGCGTGGCGCGTGCTGAGAGTTCTGGCGCAGAGCAGAGAGTCACCAGGCGAGGGCGAAGTGAGCATGAGAGGGGAGGGGGGGGGGGGGGCACACCGCACTGGATGCGCGCTGCTACCATCGACTGCTTATGGTCCCGACGGGAGAAGCGGACGTGGGGCGAGAATGGAGGAGGAAGAGGAGGAGGAGGAAGAGGAGGAGGAGGAGGAGGAGGAGAGGAGGAGAGAGGAGGAGGAGGGGAGGAAGGGGAGAGGCACGGGCCCAGAGGCGCCCGTCGTTGTGCTGACGCCCCCCCGTGCCACAGGGGCAGAGTCGAGGCTCGCTGGGCGCATGCTTCTCCTCGCCCATGTCCTGCTCCTCCTCCTGCTCAGTCTCATCCTCCTCGACATCCATATACTCCTCCTCCTCCTCCTCCTCCTCCTTCTCCTCCTCCTCCTCCTCCTCCGTAGCCATTTTGGCTCAAGATGCTTTGTTCCGCTGGGGAACAAGTGGATACCGCTAGTCCGCGGCCAGTTTGCATTCCTTCCCCTGGTCAGCCCCAGGGTGAGCACCGAGGTGGTCCGCCCCACCTTGGAGCATCCGAGGCACACACCACGAGCCTGCGCAGGCCATGGGGCGCGGGCGCCAGACCTACTCGATTTGTGCGACCTGCGGAGGCTGGGTCTACGACTGGAAGCTGGAGAGGTCAGGTGGGTGGTGCAACAAGTGCCAGTCAGTCATGCCGGGGTGGAAGCCTATGGCCCCAGGCACGGCGGCGGCGGACAAGGGCAAGAGCACAGGCAAGGGGCCCCCCTGGCGCAAGCCGACGGCGGTCCATGGCACGCTGGCGGAGCTCAGCAGCATGCTGGAGCGTGTCGAGTCCCTCACGGCGCAGATGGCGCCGCAGGTGGACCTGGGACCCGTCAAGGCGGTGCAGTCGCAGGTGCAGGCGGCTGCGGCGGCGGCGGCGCCCAAGAAGGAAGTGTCCAGGGAGCTCGAGCTGCGGCAGGCGATCAACAAGCTCAACCGCTGCCAGCTGGAGGTGGACAGCTCCGCGGCGGCCCTGCAGGAGGCGGAGGACCACGTCATGCAGCTGCGCACTAAGAACCAGAAGGCCATCGAGGATGCAGCAGACGCGGTGCTGGAGCATAAGCGCGCGCTGGCGGCGTACCAGGCGGAGACAGTGTGCCAGGACCCCGAGCCGCCTCAGCAGGCGGACTGGCAGGCACCTGCGGTTGGGGACCTCTTCGATGACCTGGACGAGTATGAGGAGGAGGACAAGGCCAAGCTGGTCAAGTTCAAGGCAGACATGGAGGCGCTGGACAAGTTGCTGCAGGCAGCTGCAGGGCAGTTTCGGAAGTTCAGCGAGCTCAAGCAGCAGGCGGACCGTTTCAGACGGCAGGCACAGAAGAAGCGCAAGACCACGGAGGACGAGACCAAGAACGACGCGCAGGAGGCCCAGGCGCCAGCGGCATCTGGTGGGGGCTCCGCGGCGTCATCTGCGGCGGCGGGGACGGGAGGAGCCAGCCCCACCCAGCCGCCACCCACAGAGGAGCAGAAACGCGAGCAGAAGGAGGTCATTGACAAGATCAAGCAGCAAGCCGAGCACAAGGTCAGGGGCGCCAAGGCCAAGACCGCCCCCACGGCGTACAGGGACGCGGTGCGGGGTGCAGAGGCTGATAAGGCTCCTGGTGGCGAGCAGAGTCTTTAGCATCTTCTTCTCGAATATCACAATGTGGGGGCCTAAGGCCCATAAGTTTATCACGGAAGAAGGCAAGTAGAAGGATATCATCATGATGTGCGAGACGCACGTGGATCGAGAGCGACTGGAGCAGGTACGTGAGGTGGTGGCACGAGATGGTTGGAAGCTACAGGGCACGGCGGCGGTGCCCACAAAGCGGTCTGAGAGGGGCACCTCGGGGGGCGAGTTCATAATGGCCAGGACTCACCTCGCATGCACTGGATACGACCTGTTGAGGAAGCGCATCGTGGACAACGGAGACGTCGACCCGTTCAGGGGCTTCGCGGCACTCAATGTCCACACGCGCTCGGGCAACGTCATCCTGATCTCGGCCTACCTGGTTCCAGGAGAAGGATTCACAGGGTCGAATTACCACCGGATTCGATCCCTGTCAGGCTTCATCAGATCTCTCACGGACCCATGGGTGGTCCTGGCTGATTGGAACATACCAGCGGACAGCATGGAACGCGCTGAGCTACCTGGCAAGCTAGGAGGAGTGGTGCTACGACCAGATGTTGGCATCACATGTGACAAAGGCAAGGGAAGCCTCATTGATTACGGCATAGCAAGAGTGGACTTCGCCCCTAGACTCAAGCTGTACGTTCAGGGTCGTGTGCCATGGCGCACGCATTGTGGGCTCCAGCTAACGATCGAGGGCACCAAAGAAAGCTGGTGGCATAGGAAGCTAGTTATCCCTAAGGCGCTCCCATACCAGGCGAGACCTCAGAAGGCGGCGGACCCTGACTCCAGGACGAGCAAGAGGAAGCAGGAAGCGCAGCGACGTCGGCAGCAGGCCCTGGAGGAGCACTTGCAGGAGGCTTACGAGGATGCTATGATACTCGAGCAGCATGTCCCCGACAGCCAGGGCGCACCAGTGCGGAAGATGCCCTACTGCGTCTCGGAGGAGCTTTGGGAGCAGATAGGGATCGTGGAGCACGAGATGGAGCTGTCGGAGGAAATGCACATCATAGGTGAGAAGATGATCACCAGAGGCACGAAGCACCAGAAGGATGAGTACCAGTTGACTCAGCAGTATGGCCAGTGGGTCGCCAAGGTGGAGGAGGTGTTCATCAGGCACGAGCAGCTGGACGAGCAGGAGGCGCAGGGCTGCCAGGGGCGTGCGGCTGGCTTTGATATACGATGGGTGCGAGCAAAACCCACGCCAGGCAGAACTCACATGCGGTATGGCCCTGCGGAAGAATGGAGTATACTGGCAGCAGATCTGGTCAGATATCAGTCACTCTTTGCGAACGGCACTGACGGACAGCAGCAGAGAATGTGCGTGACACGCATACAGAAGCAGCTTGGAGTTCTGAGAGGATTGCCGCTGAAGGACGCTTTCAGCAAGAATGTGACTAAGGCCAGCAGAGAGATGTACTTCGACATGGCATCCGACATATGGCAGTTGGACGAGGGGCAGCTAGCGAATCTGGTGGCCCAGACAGAGAAGCACTTGGCGGTGGCGCCGTCCAGATCTATGACCACGGCTCGGAAGAACTTCGCCACCTGGGCAAAAAAGGTATGGCAGACCAAGGCGGGCATCCTGCACAGGCATGTCAAGCCCAAGGACGCGCCCCGTTATGAGATGGCCATCAGAGACGACTTCGCCACAGCTGACCCCACCATCATCATGAACACCAAGGCAGGAAAGTGGGAGACCATCTGGACGGACCCCGTGGACAGTCGAGCTGACATCATTGAGCAGCTGGAGCGCACCAAGCGAAGAGCGTGGGAAGAAGACCTAGACCCCATAGACATGGACATGCTCAATAGTGCGCTCCGAGCCACATCGGCATCCAAAGCGAAAGGTCTGGATCAGCTTGGCCCCACGGATATTGACAGACTTCCTGGACAGGCTAAGCAAGAATTGTTGGAAATATTGCAGAGGAGTGAAAGAACGTTGACATGGCCAAGGCAGCTATCAGCCACCAAGTGTGCTATGGTGGCCAAGCCTGGGCCAGGTGCAGGTGATCGAGTATTGGGTATGTTACCGTTACCAGTGAAGTTATGGTCGAGAGCGAGAGGCGGAGCATGTGCCTTGTGGAGTGCTGGGCTATCAGACCACTGGGACACTGCGATCAAGGGGAGCTCGGCGCTCAGGGCAGGACTCCTTCGGTCGATTTTGGACGAGACAGGCATTGAGGTCGGCGCCTCGGCCATGACATTGCTGTTGGATATAGAGAAGTTCTACGACACGGTCTCGCTGGTCATCTTACTGCAGATTGCTTGTACGGCAGGATTCCCTGCGGTGGCAGTTGGATTGGAAGCGATGATATTTCTTGGACCCAGATATCTACAGGAGCGTTCTGTTATCAGCGAGGCCATCTGGCCCACAAGATCGCTGGTGGCAGGATCCGCTAGAGGAGTAACTCTAGCGAAGCTTTTTCTTCATCCAGTGCTGGAGATGGCGCATCGGAGACACCCAACAGCAGGATTGTGGACGTTCGTGGATGACACGGTTGCAAGATGCGAGGGCAGTTCACACACGGTGGCTGAGCAACTGCTGGAGGTGTCGACGGATATATGCACTGGATTGGTGGAACAACGTATGACTATATCGAACAAGACCACGGTGATAGGCTCAGACTTGAAGGAAGCTCGGAAGACAGCTAAGCGGTTACGAATACGTGGCATACCTGCGAAGGCCAGCGGAGTGGCGACGGACCTGGGCCTGGACACAGCAGCAGGACGAAAGCGGGTAGCAGCAAAGAGCAAGCAGCGGCAGCTCAAGGCGAGGATGAGGTTCGCGAAGATCGTGAAGCTGAGGAAGATCGCTGCGCTGAAGCATGAGTCCAAGGGCCTCTATAACGTGGGCGCACTGCCGCAGGCGATCTATGGGCAGCAGACGTACGGCATGTCCAAGCAGGCGATCACCGTGCTGAGAAGGCAGGCGGGCAAAGTGGCAGGAGGAAGTGCAGGAGGTCGATGTCTGACGACCACGCTGGGAATGGAGTTAGGCCTGAGAGACCCCGCAGTTGATCTCAGACTGGGTGTGGTGCGAGAATGGATAGGTCTGTGGCAGAGGTTTCCCCACATCCATCGACGAGTTGCGAAAGCATGGCCGTTCATCAAGGCGCGGCTCCACAGATATGGCGACAAGAGATGGCGAGCAGTACGGGGCCCCACGGGAGCTCTGATGGCAACGCTAATGGATGCTGGATGGACACCCTCGACAGCAACTCAATGGCACCGACCTGGGCCTGAAGAGCTTGAGATGTGGGAGCTGCCGACCTCCGAGGACGGCAAGTTCGTGGCCACGGGCTGCTTCCAGGAGCTCCTGGACGACCTGGAGGGCGACCTACGTAGGGACCTCTGGACGGAGGCGGCCAAGCACGAGTTTGGTGACAACTTGCAGGAGGGCGGAGACTTGTGGCCCATTGTAATGGAGCAGCGCAGGTTCGAGCGGAAGGGGATGCTGGATCAGCTGGCGCTCAATGTGACGGTGGTCGCTGGCGGCCAGTGGCCGAGAGTTCGCTGCAGGGAAAAAGGATACGTAGTTTCAGACGAATGCCCGAGATGCAAGCAAGCCCCTGAGAGCTTGAAGCACAGAATATGGGAATGTTCCAGGAACACTGATCATAGCGATTATAGCAAAACTGAGCCTTTGGTTGTAGCGGCTTTAGCACAAGCAGAAGCGGAGCCAGCTTTATGGCTCCGAGGCCTTCCCCCTACTCGCCTCACTCACCCCCTCTTTGACGATGGGCGGCTGGAGGGTCGGGAGCTTAGGTTGGGCGGGAAGGGTGACTTTGAGGCCTCTCGAGGAAGCGACGGGGTTTTAAAGGTTTACGGCGACGGCTCGGGGGGGGCGATTTTCTGACGACCCCAGACGTAGGAGATGTGGCTCAGCGATCTGCTCCCTGAGGTGGTCCCAGGGAGAATGGATTGTCCAGGCGGCGTTGGCCCGCCCCCTGCTCGGAGCCCGCCAAACCGTCCCGCGCTCTGAGATCCAGGCGTTTTGCTTAGCTTTGGAAGAGATCCCTGGGCCGTTCGTTTTCGTCACTGATCATTTGTCGGTCGCTAAGAAGTGGCGTTTTAAAATGGAGAACCCGAGTCCGACTGGGGCTAACGAAGATTTGTGGACCAGGGCCCGCGTGTCCTGGAGTTCTAGGCCAGATACCGCCACTGTCGAAGTGCAGTGGACACCCTCTCACACGGATGAATCCCCAGAGCTGCTGACTACCGAGCTGCAGTTAGAGACTGCGGTGGGTAATGCGGTAGCTGATATATGGGCGGGAGAGGGGGCGGAGCTGGCTTGGGAGTTCGGTTTGGTTGGGGAGAACCCGCACACTGATAGAATTGATGCCATTGCCAGTCTAGTGCGTCGGCGCGCGAGACGTGCGTTGGCCGACTCAGCGGGTGCAGAAGTCCAAGCGAAGAATGGAAGGCAGGAGGTTGCAAAGCGACCCCCAGCCAACAAGTGTGCTGTAGCAGTTCGAGAGTCGGCCCACCGCCTTGAGAAGTCGGGCACGGGTTGGAGGTGTGCTGTGTGCGATCAGGTGGTGCCAGGCTCTCGACTGCTCAGATTCTCGGCCACCCCTTGCGCTGGCAGGGCCATCCCAGAGGGACAGTTGCCCCCAGAGGTGATGCAGGCCCCCAGGAGGTTCGTGGCGGGGGCCTTTGTGTTTCACGAAACTCACGCGATGTTTTATGTGGACAAGTGGTTCATGCACGCCTGTAGCAAGTGTGGTCGCTATGCCACGGTAGACGGTAGGCATATCAGCAAGCGTTGTGAGGGATTGACCCCCAAGGGGACCGAGAACCTCGCTCGAATTCGGAAGGGTATTTATCCCAGGAGGGAGGGGCCCCCTCAAGCCGTAGTGGAGGCTATGGCGGCGCGTGATCGTGAGAGGGTGGTGTCGTCTCACGTCGGTCGTTCGAGCGAAGGTGAAGCGCCTGGGGGCCCCTCCCTCGCCCCTCCCCCACCGCCCGTCCCAGCGGAGGCAAGGCCTGCCGCCCAGGTGAGTGCAGCACAGCTTCGGAGTGCTCAGGCTCGTCGACGGGAGCCGCCCCGCGATTTTGGGGCGGAGGGAGGAGGAGGCGATTCAGGCAGTTCTGACTAACCCCATGAGGGTAATTTTGTGGAGGACAGTGGTCCGCTCTCATAGCATTCCCATAGCATTCCTCCTCCTCCTCCTCCTCCTCCTCCTCCTCCTCCTCCTCCTCCTCCTCCTCCTCCTCCTCCTCCTCCTCCTCCTCCTCCTCCTCCTGCTCCTCCTGCCGCACCGGCCCCGTCGGAATCGAGTCGGATCGCCGCGCCCGGATGCACCACGGCGCCATGCCGGCACCGAGCCGCAAAGGATCGGCGGCGCATCGGAGCCGAATCGGACCAGGCCCGCCGGAATCGCTGTCGGAGCGGATCGATCGGATCGAGATGGACGACGTTGGCGACTCCCTGCCAAACCACCCCAACCCAACCCGAAGACCCGAACTTCGCCCGAAGTTCGCCCGAATTTCGGGTTGGGGGGGATACGGGTCCCATGTGTGTTTCTCCATGCTCCCCGACCCCCCACCGGAAATGGAGGGCAGATTGAGGCCCTCGGGTTGGGGTTGGGGTGGTTTGGTGGGCGGTGAGCTGGGAGCAGACCAGCAACCAGAACCCCTTCGAGGCCTCCCTGGAATCGGGAGCGCCCAACAGGGGGGGTGTCCAAGAGGGGGGGGTGCAAATCATGACCGGCGGCATGTGCGCGGCCCAGCGGGGGGGCCAGGGAAGCAATGAAGTAAGAAGAGGCGCCATGAAATCTGGGGAAATGTCATGGCCCACGCCATGATATCCCCCCCCCCCCTAGTCATCACCCCCCTCTTTTCCGCCCCCTGATGGCACTCTCTGCTGCTCGCCCGTGGGCGATGGATGGAGCTGGGCCGGGATCGTCCGTCTCCCACCGGCGCCTCCCCGCGCGCCCGCCAGCTCCTCGCCGGGGCCTCCCCGCAAGGGAGCAGGGGGCGCCGAGTGAGATCCGGCAGGAGCAGGCGGCACCGCATCGGGACATCGGGTCGAAGCGACGTGCCCGTCGGATATGACTACCGACCAGACCACCCCAACCCAACCCGAAGACCCGAATTTCGGGTTTGGGGGGGTAAGGGTTCCACATGTGTTTTTTCGATGTTTCCCGACACCTCCCCCCACTGGAAATAGAGGGTGAATCTGAGCCTTCGGGTTGGGCTGAGGTGGTTTGGTGGGTGGTGAGGGTCGGGACGCGTCTGCACGGCATCGAGCTCGACCAGGATTGCATGCGCCAAAGTACACCACAGCGCCGTGCAAGCATCGGGCCACATCGCATCGCCAGGAGCTCGAGATCGAAGCGGAAGTCGACATCGAAGCGCTTCGGATCGGAGCGATCGGATCGATCGAATCGAAACGGGCCCTGCAGAGTGGACGATATGATTGAGTCGAGCCGACGAAGATGACGTTGGCAGCGTCAATGACAGCAGCCATGGGCCGACTTGAGGATGAGAGCTGGCGATTGACATCTGGGTGAGTGGCGGGAAGAGCAAAGAGAGAATCGAAGGAGAACCAGGACGATCGGAAAGAAGGGACCGGAGAAAGTCTTGAAAGGGGAGGTGCTCGAGCGCCCAGCATGAGTGCTCCTTGTCGAGGTCAGCGACGAGAAGGTTGATCATCGCCATCACTCCGCCGTTCTCCTGGCGACAGACGGGCGACTGGAGGTCCCTGGAGGCCTCTGGAGGCATTCCGAGGCCTCCAGAGGCCACCTGAGGCACGGAAAAAGCCACACACGCTTCAAAAACTCACCCCCATCGCCCCCGCCCTCGTTGCGCCGAGGAGGGCCAGCGCATCATGCCCCAAGCATGTGTGTCGACGATCGGGGGCCAAGAGACGCACGGAAAGAAGAGGACCATGATAGGGAACCGAACTCTACACACCGACGCCACTTTCGTCCCTGCACTGACATTTGCATCCAAGAAAGCGGATCCTGGTGTACACGGTATCCTGGTGAATACTCTTGCCGTTGTTTCCCTCCGCAACGGAGACAAGTATACACCACACCACCCCGACGTCGCCCCCGACCCTCCACAAGGCATAGGATTGAAATACAGCCCGCCACTGGCAATGTTAGGGAAACAAACAGTGACATAAACATAAAAACTCGGAGGTCCGCGCGGATTTCTCGGATCGGCGCTGGACCCCCCTCCCTGGCGCGCGGAGCACGCCAGGGGCGGCGCCGGAGGCGCCTCCTCCCTCCTCCTCCTCCTCCTCCTCCTCCTCCTCCTCCTCCTCCTCCTCCTCCTCCTCCTCCTCCTCCTCCTCCTCCTCCTGGGCGGCTTCCCGACGACGCAGATCGCTTGATGCCGGCCGATAATGGACCGCCGCTGGCGTTCCGCTTTTGAAACACCTGCGCCACGGTCGCCGCCGTGCCGACGCGCCGCGAACGTAAAGTGCACGGCCGCACCCCTCGCCCCCACCACCCCGCCCCTGACCAGAATCCACACAGAGCAAGTTCCCTAACCTTCTGCGGCAACTCGTGGGAGCCTCCAATACCAACTTGTCGGCTCTTGCGAATCGACCACTGTCGACGCTAAATCGAAGCCAATCCACGCTAGATCGACGCCACTCGACGCTAGACGACGCTGAATCGGCGCGATCCCATCGACTCCCAGACGCGAATCGACACTGATCGAGGCTAAAGACGGAATTAACAAGGGCTCCCAGCTTCGCGCTTCGCGCTGCGCGAAGCGCGAAGTGCGAATAACTTCACGCTCTCGCGCCGCCTCCCAGGGGAGAAGAGGAAGAGGAGGAATCGGAGCCGAAACGCAAAGCGCGAATAACTTCGCGCCCCCGAGGGCGCCCTTGAATTAAGAAGGTCTACAAGGCCCCCATGATGTGCTACCGAACCAGCCCCTCCTGGGGCCCACTCTGACCAGTTGTTCCAGCAGCGTCCCGCCGCGCAGGCCTCAGCTGGACCGCACTGCCAGGCCGTGTCGAAACCGGCTCGGATCGCCAGCGCAGCCTCCCGGATCGAGCCGAGTCGAAAGCGCATGGCCGCGCCTGGGCGCCGACTCCCGAACCCCGCGCAGACGTCCGAAAGTCTACAGTAGACTTGCGCGGTAAAGGGTCTTGCTCGAACGAGGTCAAAGGGCACGTTTTTCCCATCGACTTTCGACCTCGCTGGGTGCCCTGCGGGTGCCCAGGGCCAAAAGCGGATGGCCGGGCTGGCCCGAGCCGACGCTGGTGGATCGAACCAAATCGGAATCGCTGAAGGGGCCCTGGGACACACAAAGAGATAGACACAAGAAACGGGATTCCCCATAGTTCCCCATGTCTTCTGGGTTGTCGTCTTCCCCCCCCACACTTCCCATATTTTCCCATAGTTCCTGGGGAATCGACGATTGATTGTGTCTGTGTGTGTTTTCTCCTCCTGAGGTGTGAGCTAACGCACCCGCGGGCACTTCACCAACTTGATCGACTCGTGACGAAATCTCGGGCGACAGCGCCGTTCCTGAGTTCGGGCGCCTCTCTGGCCAGGGCGTCTCGGGAGCCGATGCCGTCGTAGCTGGGCCAGGCGAGAGCGCCGTTCCTGAACGCAGGGGCCTGTTTGGCCGGGGCGTCTCGGAATAAGGTGTGAGGAAGCATCAAGCGGAAGCCGTTGTCGTCGTAGCGGGGGCTTCGTCAACTTGACTGCATTGCTGGGACGTCTCGGGCAAGAGCGCCATTCCTGAGTTTGGGGGCCTCCTTGGCAAAGGAGTCTCGGAGTAAATTGTGGGGAGGCAGACTGGAGTGAGGGGAGCCTCTGTTGTCGCAGTTGGGCCTACAAGGCCGGCATTGGGACGCAAGCCCGCGCCCGAGGGGAGCCTCAGTTCATAGAAATGCAGCCAGCGTCGAGGCGAGAGCGCCCAGAATTATTTCTATTGATCATCCGTAAGTTTTCGCACTTCCTAGAAATGAATAGACGGCGGCGGCGGCGGCGGCGGCGACGACGACAAACACGACGACGACGACAACGACGATGGCGACGGCGGGGGCGGCGGCGACAACAGCGACAACGGCGGCGACAGCGACGACCGCCGCCGCCGCTGCCGTCGTCGCAAGCGTGAGGTCAGACAAAGATCTCCGACGCCGTGATCGCTCCACAGCGTGCGCCTCCAGAGTTCTGCGCCTCTTCCCCCCGAGCCGTTCTCTCACGGCCCCGGGACCCAGAAGAGGGCCCCCAGGGACCGAAGATTGGAACACGCCCCCCCCAAAAAAACACGACGTGGGTTGCAACGCGAGGAGCTCTGGCCTCCGGGCCCCAGCTCCTCGGCCGTTCGCGCGGCCGCTCAGGACGAGGCCGACGCGCCCCGACGACGCCGTCGGCGAGGCGCGGCTGCAGGAGAGCATCCCGAGACTGGCAGAGGAAGCGCCTCTGGGAGCCTGCGAAAACGCCTGAAACATCTCCAGGGAGCTCCGAAGGACGCACCGGACAGAAGGGGAAAAAACGGCACAAACGCAAACTCTTGCCGCTCCGCGCGGATGGCTTGGACCTGCGCTGGGCCCCCCTCCCTGGCGCGCGGCAGCGCCAGGGGGGGGCCCAGCGCAGATCCGAGAAATCCGCGCGGAGGGCCAAAAGTTTATGCTTATGGCGTCTGTTCGTCTTCGACTGGAGGCGTGGAGGCGCCTCCGTCTTCTTGGCGTACGCCCCGAACGTCTCCGGGGGCGGCGGCGGCGCCGCCCTGCCGATGCGCCTGTGCTCAGACACCTGCACGAGGGAGGCGCCGCCGACGTCCTGAGCCGGCGGCCGTCGCCGCCGCAGCCCTCGTCCTGGTCGTCGTCGTTGTCGCCGCGGTCGGCGTCGAGAACCTGATCGGACAAGAACGGGAAGCGCCGGTGTAGTCTAATGGGCGTATTGGGCGAAGAAGAACAGGAAGGCGAGGACAACGAGGAGTCGATGACAAGGACGACGTGGCGAACGTGAGGATAGCGAGGAGGAGCATGAGGACAACGAGGAGGAAGAAAAGCACAAGGACGAGGACGAAGAGAACGAGGGCGAGTACGAGGAGGAATGCGGAGGGCGATGATGACGACGACGACGTCGACGACAGAGGACAGTACGAGGCAATTGGAGAAAGACGTTGCTCCTGGCGTCGCGCGGGGTTCTCTTGGGGCCTGTTGGGGGCTTCTTGGGGGCCCCTTGGGTCCTCTTATGGGCTTCTGGGGTCTTCTTGGGCTGTCTGGGCGCGTCGTGGGGTTCTGTAAGAGCTCTCTCAGGCCGTCTCGGCGCTGGGGGCCTCCTGGGGCGCTCCCGGGAGTCTCTTGGGGCCTTCTTGGCCCTTCTCGGGCCGTCTTGGGGTTCTTGTGAGCTGTCTGGGTGGCTCCTAGAGCGTTATTGGGGATCTCTTGGTGTCTTCTTGGGGCGCTCTTGGGTGCTCCTCGGGCTCTCCGGGGCGTCTTCTGGGCTTCCCTTGGGCCGTTGGAAAGCCCTCCAAGAGCGATTCGAACACGACGTCGATGCGGAGTCCCCTCTTGGGCCAAGTTTTGGAGGATGTCTCGAGCGAAACGGTCATTTTTCAAAAAGCCCGCGTGGGGGCCAGATTGGGGCTCGTGGGGAGCATTTTGGGAGCCTATTGGAGGCTTCTGTGACCCTCTTGGACTGTCCAGGCGTCTCTCAAGGGTCTGTGGGGCTCTCTTGGGCTGTCTTAGCGTTATCTTGGACTGTCGTGGGGCTCTGGGGGCCTGATTGGGGCCCGTGGGGAGCATTTTGGGAGCCTCTTGGAGGCTTTCTGTGACCCTCTTGGACTGTCCAGGCGTCCCTCGAGGGTCTGTGGGGGCTCTCTTGGGCTGTCTTGGCGTTATCTTGGACCGTCTTGGGGCTCTCTTGGCCAGTCCTGGGGCCTCTTCGCGCGCTCGGGGGGGCCTCTGGGCGCCTCTTGGGGGCCTCTGGGCGCCTCTTGGGGGCCTCTTGGGGGTCTCTTGGGCCGTTTTGGGGGTCCCCCGGGGGGGTCTTTGGGGGTCGTTGTCGCCGCGGTCGGCGTCGAGAATCCGCCAGCGTGCCTGGAGGCACGAAGTGGAGGGTCTTCAGGTCCCTTCGAGCCCTCTGTGCTGGACGCTCTAAAGGTTACCTGAGAGGCCCACGGAGCGGGGCGCTCCTGGGCGCTCCCGGGCGCTCCTGGCCTCCCGCGCGACTTCGGCAGAGGCAGGAGGGCCCGCAGACGGGCCAAGAGGGCCCCAAGGGGCGGCCCAAGACGGTCCAAGGGGGCCCCGAGTCGCCCGAAGATCGCTCCGAGATGCCCCAGGTGGCTTCTGGACGGCCCAAGAAGCCCCTGCGTGACGCCCCAAGAGAGCTCCAAGGGGCCCCCCAAGAGGGCCCCGAGGGGCCAACATCCTATCTTGTCCTTTGGCTTTTGACTAAAATGAGCGTTCTCTTCTTTGCGGCGGGCTTCCGACACTCCAAGACGGTCCAAGAAGCCCCCAAGATCGCCCCCAACACGGCCCAAGAAACCACCAAGAGGGCTCCCCCAGGACGGCCCAATGTTTAAGATAGTTTTTAAAATGTTTCCGAGAGGCTGACAGAGAGATCCCCACGGGCATACAAGAGGCCTCTGACCTACGACCAAGCCACGGCGGCTGGATGGGCTGAAGGTCACTAGATCCGCCATTCCCTGTTGATTTACAGTGCGGGCCAGTCCACAAGAAACCTTCCATGAGATACCCAACCCTGAGACCCCAGGACGTCCACGGATTTCTGGTGCGGGATACGTCGCGCTTTCCACAGCAAAACCATCGAAACCCAAGAAACCCAGGGCATCCTGGGGTTAAGTCGGGCGTGTCCGCCTACTTGGGAATTTTCGACCAGAAATTAAAAATACAACTCCCAAATGGCCAACAAATATGCAAAAAATAGTCCCCATACTATTTTTTTATGTTTGAAGTATCCTCCTGTAGAGGGACAGGCCCGACTTAATCCTGGGGGCAAGCAGGGCGTCTCTTGGCATGGGTCTCCACTGCATCGATTGGGTGCCTGGCGTGCCGAACGGTAGACTGCTTCGTCCTGCCTTCCGGGTTCCCAAATGAAGGTCTCGGCCGACCCCGCCGGCCACACGGAGAACCGGGGGCGAGGTGCTGGGCAAGGGTCGTTCCGCACAGGATGGCTCCAAGATGGCCTCCAATGCGGCCCCAAGACGTCTCCAAGACGGCCAACATGGCCCCAAGACAATCCAAGATGCCCTCCAGACGGCCCAAGAGGCCCCCAAGACGCCCCAGGAGGGCTCCAAGAAGACCTCCAGGGTGCCCAAATCAGTGAGGTCTTTAGGTTTTTCAATGATTTGAGCGCTCTCGCCTTTTCGGGCTTCCGACGCTCCAAGCAAGACGGACACATATGCCCCCAAGATCGCCCCAAGACGGCCCCAGGGGCCCCAAAGAGGCCCCCAGACGGCCCAAGAGGGCGCCAAGATGGCCCAGGAGGCCCCCAGAACGGCCCCAACAGACCTCTAAGACGGCACCGAAGCGCCCTAAGAGGGGGCGATTGCCCAGAGACAGAGAGGCCCCCGACACGGCCCGATGGGCAAAGCAATGCCTAAGAGAACGACGACCGTTCTGAACACGGTACAGTCGAAAACCGTAATGAGGACGCGCGGTAAGGACGCAAGACCCTTGGAAGCCGAAGTTGGGATTTTGGGGGGCGGCGGACGACGAAAACCCCGTAAGCGGGCAAGCGAAAGAGGCCCAGGACGAGCCGCAAGAGCAAGGAAGAGCAAGGACGCAAGGGTACCCTGAGCAAAGTCGCGCGTCCTTATTAGGGTTTTTGACTGTACGTCTTGTGCCTCAGCATGGGCGCATCGTGGCAGCCGAGGCCCCGGGCCCTCGAACCCCTCTCTTGCACTCAGGTCGGGCACGTCCTCCTACAAGCGGAGTTGGGACGAGAAAGCAAAAACAACTTATTCAACAATAGCAATATACATATATATATATATACATATATATACATATATATATATATATATATATAGCGTCCCTAGACAAGGTTTCACTACTTTTTAAGATACCTCCTGTAGAGGGACATACCCGATTTGATCCTGGACGCCCCCGCCGAGGGAGCCAGGGCGCGCCTGGGGCCCGGGGACTGCCTGACGCCCTCCGAAGCCGTAGTGGGGGCCTCTGGGCCGACTTGCGCCCCCCTCTTGGGGTGCTCCAGGGCCGTCTTGGAGGCCACCTTGGGGCGTTGTGAAGGCCTCTCGGGCCGCCTCGGGGCCCTCTCTTGGGGCAGTCTCGGGGGCCTGCTGGGCCGCTCTGGGGCCTCCTGGGGGCCTCCTGGGGCGATCCTGGGGCGATATTTTTAGGGGCTCATCCTGGGGCGATCTCTCTTGGGGGCTCTCTTGGGACGTCTCGGACCGCCGGGGCCCCTCCCGGGGGCGCCCTCTGGCCGCAGCCCTGGCGCGGGCCCCGGCGCGGCGGCGGGGCCCCTGCCCCGCAGGGGGGGGAGAGGTAGGCTGCATCCGGCGGCGAGCAACGGGGGAGGGGATCGGGGTGGCCCCAAATCGGGGAGACGTAAGACTCGGGTACGGGGGACTCGGGTTGGCCCGACGGGGCCATCATAAAAATGACGAGGCCCAATCTGAAATTTGACGCGAGCTCCCGCTGCAGACATCCCACGAAAACTGGACCGTCAAAATCCAGGACGCGCTCGTCAAAAAAACGTCGGCAAACCCAAGTTCCGGCATACTCGGGTCTTGCGTTCCCCCGACAAAAGGGGGGTCCAGCTGCAAGGGGGGCGGTGCAGCAGATTCGGGGCAGCTGTGCTGCAAGTCTAATGCGCCGGAGGCTTGTACTGCATCGTGTTGCAAGTGACGCACTGCACGCGAAGATCCAGCAATACACTTGCGCCCAGAATGTATTTTACGCCCCAAATGTATTGCAAGCCTAAAGATCTATTGCACCACCCCCTTGTCGCTGGACCCCCTTGTTGGGTCAACCGCAGCTACATCCGGCGGCCAGAGGGGGGAAGTGAAAAGGAAAGGGCCCCGGGAGACACTGATAGATACACACAGCTCCCAGGATCCCCCCCATCTTCCCACATGTTTTTTGGGGGGACTCGTCCTCTCGTCCTCCTCCCCCCCCGTTTCCCAATTATTTTCCCATATATTTCCCTGGAAGCGACGACTCATAGTGCCTGTGCTCTGTCCCATCCCGAGGGAGGAGAGATGGCCTCCCCAGAGGGCACGCTCTCCGCATCCTCTCTGGGCCTCCGGAAGAGACCCCTCGTCGCCCCGGCCGGCTCTGCCTCGGAGAACGGGGCAAGAGAGGGACCCCTCGGAGGAGTCCGCTGCATCCCCCCCCCCCACAGGCGCGACGGGGCACGAAGACCTCGAATCTCGATCCCGCCCTCACGCCCGCCGGGGAGGGACCATCGAGCTGGAGTCGGCGAGGGGGCGGGAGCTCGAGCTGGAATCGGCCATGCATCGCCGAGAGATCGGCGACAGGGCCCCGATGGCGACTCCGCACGCTCCCGGACGGGGTGGGCTATCCGGCCCCCATCGACGATGCATGGGCGATTGGGGGCCGATACGCTCCCCCCGTGCGCCGATGCCCCCCCCGTCATAACGCTGCTCGTGAACCTCCCTCTGCCAACGGGGCCAGGTCCTGGGAGATCGCGTCCATGGCGGTGCGCTCCACCTGGGCCGGCGGCCGCCGCCGGCACTCGCCGCCGCCCGAGGAGGTGAGGCCCCCGCGGGAGGACCACGAGGAGCGGGGGCGCAGG